TCTTCAAATTGCATGCATGGAGGATCCGGGTTCCAGCGTTTTCAACTTAGAGATCGGTCCCTTATTGGTCTCCCCCTTCACCGCTTATCACTTTCTTTGAGAAATACAAGCGGCTTCAGATGCAATAACACTCTTGTTCGCTGCAGATGCTGGGGCGTCTCGGGGGGGGGGGGGCGAAGGGTGGGGGAGGGATTGGATTTGGCGCGGTACCAGCACAGTTTTAACCAATTGTTGCAGCGATCAAAGCGAAAACATTGGGTGAAATGGGTTGGCGCCGCGCCAAACCCAGCCCCACCTCCTGACACCTCCCCCCCGGTGTACGCAACGATCAAGACTGTGGACCATGCAAAATTGCTCTGCCATTTCATATGCAATCCACATCTAAGGGCAAAAGGTGGTGTTGATGCAACGTGTTCCCGTGCCGACCCTCTTGTACTACACCCAAGTCTTTGTCCCACTTTCGCTTGTATCCTTTAGACCGTTCGGGAACGTCCACTTTCACGCTCGGATATGAACTGTACAAGTACTGAGAAAAATATTGTAAAAAATGCCGGGGAATCTCACCAACTTCTAATTATTTACACCTGGCTGCCTGATCAACAGACCCCCGCAGTTCTATCTGAATGCGCTTTCGAGACCAAGAAAGGCACTGAAGCAAATCCCTTTAGAGCATTACAAATTCTTTCGAGAGAGAAGACAATACTGAAGGTATCTGGGGCGCTGTCCGGCTTGGAAGGGGCATTCGGTACTTCCGCTAACTCCTCTTACTTGTTGAGTAAAAGGTCTCACCAAAGTGAGTTGGGCGAGTTCCTGGAAAGTTCTGTGAAGCTGAGAAATGGTGCGAGTGAGCCGGCTTGATCACAGGCGCCCACAGATTTTCACAAAAAGGCTTGTACAAGCTTTGAGTAGTAAACTGATTTACCGCCTGCATAACTGTTCATTACTCCGACTTGAAGAGTTGATACCGCAAGGAAAGCAACGATCGATTGAACGGGGGCGTGCAGAATTCTTCTCTCGACAGCCAGCGAGTTAGGAACCCGCAGGCAAAATGTCGGGCAAACGTGTGTCAAGGAAGCTCTCAGCCAATTTGCACACGGGAATGTGGATATCAAATAATGGACCAATGAGAGCGCCAGAGCGTGAGGCTCATAGGTAGATTTCATCGAAACTTTCGATCTGTAGCTGTTTTTCAAGCGAAATCGCTAGGCGATTTATTTAACACGTTCCGGACCGCGTGACACACATGGTGGTCATAGATTTTTCTCTCCGCGCCGTTTCATGTGGTCTGATCGGCATTTTGTTCGTGCTCTCAAACTATCAGAACACGTTTTTAGGCCACAGAATACACTATCCCATAGAAAAAAGAAAAGAAACAGACTGAAATTGCTTGATAATCGATTTGAAAAATAACGAATCATGACATGGAGCATCCCACAGCTACGGCGTCCGGAATGCGTTAATTAAAGCATTTGCCGACCAAGAGACACGTCCATCCAGACAAAAAGCCAAATGTGAAATATGCTTATTCTAAGCTCAGAATAGAGGCCGTGTTCATACTTCACCACTTGAACGCTTCAGTCGCGCGACTGCGACTCTCCACCGCTAAAAGCTGGACCGGTGCGAAACTCGAAATAATTCTTGTCCAGGCTGTCATGGACTAGCAGCTGCAGTGGTCAAACGACTGGCGGTAGAGCGGGCGATTTCCAAATCGCACGATTGGACGACTCAAGTCGTGAACTATGAAAGCAGCCTGAACATTCTTCTCCCTTACCGTTCCGCTCGTTTGAACCGTTTCGGCTTTGTCGCTCCCGCAATTCGAGTAGTGATTACAAGGCAATCGTGAGACAAGAATACATCAAATACAGGTCTGTGAACATCCGCTCCGAAAAGGATAAGTAAGAACGCGGCAGACCAATTTTCTGTGGATAGAAGGGGGGGGAGGAGTAGAAAAGTGCTTACATTCTAGCCTTTGCCACCTTACCTGGTTGGCTCGTTTGGCGCCGTCCAATCCACAATCAATCCAAGGGAACCCTCCATGCCTGAAACTCATCAAACATATAGGCCCTGCAAACATTTCAACACCTTCACAGTTTTGTGGAGACATCAAATGCATGGCTCACGCCAAGGTGAAGATCACCTTACGCTCAAATGAGAACTTTTATTATCTGTAAATATTTTCAACCTTACCGAAAAGGTAGATCATTTCACTATTGCATCAACATATCATGGAACATATCATGCAATAAGAACTTCAAAATTGATAATATTCCACATTACGATCTGTGGAAATGGTCCTTTGGATGGGACTTCACAAGTCGTCCACTATGCTACGCAGGAATAAGGCAATGGAACAACAATGACATCAATCGATTAATATTTACAAGTGAACAGGAAGCAATGTTCAGAGGGATATATGGAGCCCCTGAAGTCATTGTGGCTTTCTCGGCCAGAAGTCGCGTTCATACTTTACGACTCGAGCGATTCAGTCGCGCGTTTGGATATCGCCCGACTGCAATCAATCGCGCTCCACAGCTAGCTTTTATCCCACGCTGAATATATCAGACCAATTTCAACTGAAATAAGTGCGGGACGATCCAACGATCGGCGCTGGGCCACGACGGGTCGCATGAGCGCGATTCTGAAAGAGCACGGTTTGCCAAAGTCGCGAAGTATGAACACGGCCCAAGTGGAAGGCGGTGCAGTGCTACGTTTTCGATCAGATCAAGCTCGCTGAGGCTGAGGCCCATTATGCCTAGCTGCCAGGTCAACTTCGATACCCTCTAAGGCTTCTCGTTCCTTGAGGTGTCATTATCGAGCATAAGCGATTCGTCGGTCGATGGATCCGTGTGTAAAGTGACACTGTCAAGATTCACGTTCTTTGTTTCGATCTGTAATAAGTGCTTTTAAGCCTTCACGAATTGATGTATGGGAAGGAAGCATGGACTCAATAGGGGTTATACTGACCAGGAAGAAATAGGAAATGATGAGATTCACAAATCCTGCGATAACCACAGCCAAATAGAGAGCTGGAGGCCAGTACACGTTGGCGTAAGTCAGCTGAAAAGTTCGATATAAGAATCAATCCATCAAGCTCCGTAGGTGCCCAGGTTTCCCATTATTTCAAGAGGAGACTTCCCTGGGTTCTCTTTTCAGAGACTTCCTAGAGTTTGTTCGATGGAAGGACGCCTAATTACACGTCCTGCTGTTGGGAGAAGTTTTTACACGATACGACCCTTATCTCCCAAAAGTTACTCCTCGCTTTCCCTTTTCACAAATAGATCCCTCAGTTTACCTCGAAAATGTTTCTCTAAGGCGGCAACCCCACTTGAAGCAGGAAAAACCGGGGAAAGTCAACAACCAAAAAAATTTTCGAAGGCGGACAACGATTCTTTTATCCTGTTCTGTTCAGTCTCGCCACCCCTCCAGCGGCCAAATAAAACCCGTTTAGCTGGGGATCCCCAAAGCACGACGTACCCTGACCTGAATTGACTAATGTCATCCACATATCTATGAATAACTGGATCAGAGAGAAGGGAGCACAGAGCCCGATCCACTTTAATTAACTGGGCGGAGTTGGAGAACCATTGTGCAACCAATGGTGATGCACCCTTCCTTCTAAAACGGTAAAGGGAAGGTTGCATTCATACTGAGACACTATGCCTCTCTGTCTCTACCCGCACGGCAAACGGGGACTGCTATCAGAATCATGAAAGAATGCGACGGAGCTCCATCCATACAACCGACAGAAGCCACATCGGTTCGCCACATTGGTTCGCTTTAGGTATAACGGCAAGAACCACTTCTTCTAAGGCTGAGGATGCTTGGTAAGGGAGCCAAAAGGCGAATCACGCCCATCTCCTGCTCATTTAGGATCCCATCCCGGCTCGGAGCCAGATGAATTCGTTGAGAGAGACTGCATGTCGCGCACCGATGTCAACGCTCTGTTCTGATGCATTGTTATAGAGATGTAAATAACCCCCGAGACCCACATCAACACCATGAGACAACTATCAAGCGCTATCGCGGACGAGATTACGCTTTTGTGGCCAAGTTTCCTGTAGGAAAAAAGGAAATGCTCATCAGATGGAGCTGTGAAAGTGCGCAATTGCTATCAGAACTAAGACGACTCACCACTGGAGCGATTATGGCGCCCACACGAGCCATCAGTGAGCAGGTGCCAGTAGCGCTAGCACGACAGGACGTCTCCATAGATTCCACAGCGCAGAGATAACATGCATCCCAAGTGTATTCGATGAAGATTGTTCCGGTGACGTTTATTATAAGAGTCGCAACACCCTGAATAACATCTCATCACCTAGGTAAAACCTCGCAATTAGGTGAGCAGGCGTAGTAAATAGGGCAGAATATGAGCAAATACTAATTAGGCTAAATCTACATTTTGATTCGAAGATTATTCATCATAGTATCATTTGTGCGCATTTATTCCCCCACAGTCGCCCAAATCCACGATTGCCGACATATTCGCGCAGCTATCGATCGCTGCAGAACTGTCGCGCGCGGCGAGCGGCGATTTCGCGCGACCTAGGATGGGAACCTAGGTTACACAGTCTTTTGATCAAAATGTTCCAACAATATATTAAGAATAATAATAATCACTGACCGAGTAGCCTTGCATAGTGAGGAAAAAGAGTGTGAGGAAGCAAAGGCAGACGACAAACTGAGCACCCTGATGAAGTGTCCGTCGACTGAACGACGGAATGAACGTGTCGACAGCTACGAGAACCTTAACAAGAGCATTTGTGGACTTTGGAAATAAGTGATAAGGGCCCCCAGTCACTCCTATCAGGGACGACCCCCCCATTAGATGCTTACCATCTTGGAGACTGCGATAAGTATCGAGTAAATGATCTGGTTGAAGAAGAAGTCGCCGCTGATCGTGTTTGAGTTCAGATCGGTTGCATAGCCACAGATGGAGGCCACAAACCACATCGTCCACAAAACGAACAGGCGACGATGGAGACTTTTCGTTTGCAGCATTTCGCATAGCGTCTGAATTATACGATAAACAATTGACTAGATACCTAGGGGTTCGAAGCGCGACAAGCAAAGAACGCTGTTTCTGTGAGAGCGCGTAGGCAAGTAGACATGACTTATTCAGCCTTGCCGCATACTAGGCAAGTTATACCTGGCTGCCTAAACCCTCTCACCAAGATAGCTTTCTGTAACTGCTCATTTTCCGCTCCCAGAAAAGGGTACAGCATCGGGATGGGCAAAATGGCGATGACAGTATGACCCCTCCCCCACACTTGCGCTCCAAACAATGCCGTATCTGCCCAAGCACCTGGCAGCAATTTGGTGTACAATGTCGAGCCAAAGCACATTTTTTAGAGCTGATCAATCCTCTTTGCACCCCGTGCTTATGAAGAACCCATCACGCTACGCGGGTTCCCTAGAAGCACAGCGCCATTTGGGTTTCCTCTGACCTATGTAGTGATCCAGAAGGACTAGCCTGGTCAGTGTTTTCCACAATCCGCACCAACCTGTTACTTATTCACCACAGCTGTGGAATGAGAACCTTGAGGCTAAGCTAGCAAGTTTAAACCCGCACTGAATCTTTGGACAGTGCAGGTGGTGGGCGGCGCCAATGACCGCTCACTATACCATTCATGGAGGTCGTGCCCAATGAATGGAAAAGACAGAACATTTCTTTGCCTCAAAAGCGCATTCCAGGATGAAACGATAGGCGGAGCGATGGGTGTAGACACGAACCATTTGTGTTTCCTCATCGAACACGTCCTAATCACGGTCGATGCAGAGGAAAGACGTGCGCTATGGGAAAGAGGAATTCTAGTGATTTTCCACCTCCCATTCCTCCGCCTATCCGCTTATTCGCGAAACTGGTTCTAATTTATTCACATCGTCAGCCATCGATACATCTAACAATAGGCTATTTGATTGGAAGTTGGGGGGGGGTGCAGCAAAAGGTCACTACGCGAAATGACGCACATATGTCCATTTCTCTCTTTGCGCAGCACTAGGTGAAGCTATGCAACATCAAAATGAAGCAACAAACCTTATTATGTTCTCTCTTCTTGTGAACCACAGGTTTATACTCCACATTAGCGAATTTGGCAATATAGCGCTCAGCTGTACGCATTTCATCCAATCGTCCCTTTAACAATAGCCCATTCAATTGGGATACTAGGTACTTTGGATCAGTAATTTCCTACCTTATTATGTAACCATGTAGGACTTTCTGGGAATATGAAGATCAATATCAGAAGGGCTGGCAGGGCAGTGAGAGCACATGCGATACTAGAGATTCGCCATTCCGGGAACGCCATGCAGATCAGCGTCATTATCAGTCGGGCAACTCCCTGCAATCGATTGAACTAGGTCTCAGAAAACGTAAATAATCACTCTAGGCGCTATATGATCAGATCAGTAGGGAAACCGGCGCAGTTTTTGTCGACGGGGGGGGGCATTTTGCTTTCCATAGATGTTTCGACCCATCTAGGTAGCCGTTTCTCGAGTTGACACGTTTTAGGATGGTGGCTAGACGATCTTGCTCCAGCTTCACAAGCGTTCACAAGTTTTACCAGAGTGGGATTTGAAAACCGGAACTAGGGAAGCAATGATAGTACAAAATGCCCCCCCCCGCCCGTCGACAAACAGCGCCAGGGAAACCATAACAAATGAGAGGAGGACAACACTCTTCATTAATTTCAGGGAGAATCATGTGGAAATCATGGCGTTGCTATAGTAGAGACACCTTGAGGACCTAACCCGCGAGAGAAGTGCGAACTCTGGTTGTCTGCGCTCTTCCGAGACTGAGTCAGGAGAGAGGTATGGATTGATCGTAAGAGCGAGAAAGAGCGAACTGAGTCTTTCTTCTCAACTATGTAAGCTTTCAACAACTTCTTTCCCAAACCCGTATGGATCCATGAAACTTACCCAATTGAAGAATGCTCTGAGAGCCATTCGTTTGATGTGGCAGAAGCATTTCATAAAACGAAAACTACACAGCAACGACCAACGTTCCACCAACGGAAAGCCCAACGAAGAAACGGATCGCCATGAGGATTTGCCATGTTGGAGCCAGACCTGGGAAAAATCGCGTTCTTCACTCGCCCACACATTCTCTAACAATTGTGTTTATACTACTACTGAATTTGACGTACACAGGATCTTTATGCCTGCCTAGAGTCCATACTTTATACTACTACTGAATTTTATAAGTTAGCAGAGCACAGAAGCGACAAATGGTTGGTGTAGTGGGTTGTGTAGGGCAGCCAAGTGCTGGCCACGGATAGCGAATCTGCGGGACAAGCAAAGACGCGGCGCGGCATTTTTTAGCTAGCCGAATGGGCTTATGGAAGCACTTTTGCATCGTTTCACGCCCAGGTGAGAGTGTTGTAAGTGCAAGACCGATTGTCACGCCTCTTATCCCGCAGCATGGATCTCCTGATCGGCACCAGAGGGAGTAGCGCCACCAATTCTCAAACAGTCGGAGGGTCCAGCGAGATACTGCCTAGCTCCTTGTGTTGTCTTCTGAGGCTTGATCCCTCTTCAAATGGTTAGAGTATCTTCCTAGAACGATGAGGTCCTTTCCCCTGCAGCAGTTTTTTGGTATGCAGCTAACCAAAGAAACAATTTTTAGCCCTGATGCTTTCCTCTATGCCCAGGACTGTATAATGGGCATAGACACCACGGGAAAGAGTCCTGTGATCGTCAAAAAAGCGAATGGACCTTACCGGTGATGAAGTTCGTAAGAATGCCCATCGATGATGTCAAAATAGGCGCGACTGGGTTTCCGGACCGAAGATATCAGAAAGGAGCGCCAAAAGGAGAAGGTACCGTCAAGAATCGGCGAGTATTCCTCGATCAGAAGTGTTAACCTAATATTCAGTACTGGAAGTTCTCTCACCACAAAGGACACCAGCAAACTGGATCTGAGAGAATAACGACGCCAAGTAAGCAGTGCTTCCGCATATCCATCCGTATCTGAAAGCATGTCATCGATCCAGAGTGGCTATGACAAAAAGGCTTGATCTGAGTTCTGAAGAGTCCTAGGGTACAGGCCACCGAGTGCAAGAATTGGATGTTTTTCGGCGGTGGCCGCATGATTTGCCCATGCCGACTCTCTGCTCTTTACACACCGGTCCGTTCGCCGCGCTTCCCGTCATCTGCACCTCAAAGCTGTGCCCTTTGCCCCTAGATTGACTGCTTGCTCGAGAAGGGTGGGTGTAAACAAGCCACGCCAGCCTTTTGTTCATACTGCACTCTCTTGGTCAATGTTGGGCGAAGGAAAACGAGGTAGAAAAGACTTACTCCGTTGGGAAGGTGTAGACATACAGAAAAAGGATATAGCTTGCGTTTCAACTGTCGTTGGGTTGCTTCCTGAGACCTAGGCCCGGAAATGATGGAATTCTCTCCAACTTGGCGAGATGGGTAAGGTGCAGGCAGCAATATCGATCTCCATTCGCACTCAACGAAAGCATAGACCGCACCTTGCCGCGAATGCGAACATTATTCATCCGGCGCTGCGGCACCCCAATGTCGCGGGTACCCTCTACCTAGTCTGCACCAAGAAGCTACTATATATCTGAAGACGTCCCCCTTGGAATTCCAGGCTGACGCCTTCAGGACAAAGTAAAAAACTCACTCCAAAGCTGCCGAATGGAATTGCGAATGCGGATAACTCAAGGTTCCATTACAGGTGGTATAAGTGGTACAATTCTTCGACACTGGTCCGTCATCTGAAATCGGTTACTGGTCAGGTAATGAATGAACCTTGTGGGTGCACAAACGAAGTAATTGGATTGGAAGTCTCCGCTTTCCGTTCCGATCACTTGAAGTCTCTTCCTTGTATCCAAGGATCTTACCGGGGGATTTTTTTTGCAGCTCCTACCTGTACCGTAATCTCCACCTTCCCTTGGAAAGGCGCTCAAGATGACAGCTTTTAGCTTCTTGACACTCCTTGAAGTCAATGACAGATTTCAGGCCACAGACCCCGGTACCCGGATTCGTGGGAGCGGCACCTACTCTGAACATGCATCACCCCAACCAACAAGTTCCTTCTATGACCACCCTCTTTTCTCGTCCCAGTGCTACAATCTTTTTAAATCTTTCCATCTTCCAACCACTTTTCTCCGAAATTTGCCAACAAGAGGCGGAGGTGGTAGGACGGTATATCGAAAGAAACAGGTACGAACACTCTCGCTGTATATTCCCAAACGATGTGCCTCGTCTGTTGTAAAATCCACGCCAGCAAATGGTAAACCTATTGTAACGTGCAATAATCTGTTGCGAATCACGATGCCGCGAATTTAGCATGTGTAGGTGGTCCTTCATAGAGGACGATCCTCCCAAATGACTAGTGCCCAAATAAGCATTGATCGATAAAGGAGTGGTTCTACCGATAAACGAGGAAGTTTATACAACGATCAACTCTACTTCGATCACTCACCGCACTGCCATTCCGGTACATAATTGGAGAAGATTGGAAATATCTGCTGCGATGCAAAAAAGATAGCGAACTGCCACGTCAAGAGTACAAAAAAATGAAATCGATTGATGTCAAATATCATTACCTGAAAAACACCGGAAAATTCTCGGGTGAGAGATGCAAAGAACTATTGATCTCTCGAGTCAATATTTTTTTCAAAAAGTGTGGAAATAAAAAATGGGTCCCAAAGCACCGGAATGTGGAAACTGCGGAATCAAGGTTTTTTCGAAAATAATAATAATAATAATAATAATAATAATAATAATAATAATAATAATAATAATAATAATAATAATAATAATAATAATAATAATAATAATAATAATAATAATAATAATAATAATAATAATAATAATAATAATAATAATAATAATAATAATAATAATAATAATAATAATAATAATAATAATAATAATAATAATAATAATAATAACAATAATGACAATAAAAGTTATGTCATAATAGTAAAAGTGAAAATGGTAGAAAATGAAATGTTCACGAATAAATATAAAATCAACAGACAAATATAATAGGCAAATAAAAAATAATAATAGTTTTCACGTCCCGTCCGTCACCAGCAGTTTCACGTCGTTTCACGTAAATAATAATAATATTGAGGTTGTCACAGAAAGTTCTCAGGCAGCTTTTGGAAGTGGGTTCATTTGAACGATCAACTTTCTCAACTACTCATCGGATTCAGTCGAAACTAAGCCACCGCTCGGATCAGAAAACAATTTTGCGCAACGACACCGATCGCAAATCTCATAAAGAAAAAACTGGTGTGAGAATACTTAAAGATCTCCACGAAGGCTTTTGTTGCTTTTAGTCCTGATCTGATGAAAGTATTTACCATCAAGGAAGTTATCTGCAAAATGTTGAAAAGGTGATAGTCGGTTGGTGAAAGGTCTTGAGAATGTGGCGGGTGAGGTAGAATTTCAACCCCGAATTCGTTCAGTTTATGGATAGGGATTGTGAACGGTGTGGCTACACTTTTCGTAGCATTCGTCTATTTCTTTACACTAGGACTCTGCTGTGATGGTTTGGCCTGGTAACAAAAAGTTATAGTGGATCACAGCCAGCCACCACACTGTGACCATAATCTTTTTTTTCGTGAGGATTCCGTCTTTTTATTTTCATTCTTGGAAATTGCCTCGCTGGTTCGTCGCCATTCAAACATTGTTCCGTACGGTTCCTCTTACCACATCAAATGCATCTCCTTTTTATCGACACCAATCGACAATTCGTCCAAAAGCGGGTCATTACTGTTGTGCAGAAGCAGTGAAGAAAAGAAACCTGCATTTCTCCCCCGGTCTCACTTCAGATTGTGATGGTCTCACCTTTCGAGTATTTTTTCACTCCCGATTGCGTTTAAACGCTATCTGGCAACAGTGGGGATTTGGCCATAAATACAGCTTTTTCTGCAATCTCTCGAACTGTTTGGGATGGGTCAGCCTCCACAAACGCCTTCAAATCCTTGTCAGGTATTGCTTTAGGTCGACCGCTACGAGGTTCATCTTCAGGCTGAAATCTCCAGAAATGTTGTCCATTCATTGTCGCACGGTGCTTTCTCCAACACTAGTGGGCCCCCACACCTGGTTAATTTTTCGAGCTGTCTCGACTGCGGATTGACCCAATTTGTAGTTGAAGAACAATATCGTCCGAAGTTGCTCTTTTGACATGCTTGAAAAACTCTTGAAAAAGGGGTCAATCAAGCAATGGTGAAACGGCAATTATACCATCAGATAGCGCAGAAAATTCTCTTCAGGATGTACTACACTCGAGCACCAAGGAAGAATGGGTTTTTAATCAGCATAAAATTACAAAAATAGTAACTACAAAACTGCTGAAACTCCAGGACAACCTAATAATACATAAAGATATAATAATCAAATAAATAATAATAATAATAAAAGAATAACTAAAATAATCAATCATAATAAAATAGTAACAAGCAACAATAATAATAATAATATTGGATCAATGGTAAGTAAATGCGTAAATGAATAATGCTGTCAATACTGATAAAAATACGCTTCAAAGTAAATATAACAGGATATAAGTGTAAATAATGTGAACACTATGCAAACATAATAAAATAAATTAGTAGTATAATTTAATGTAAACAAAATAATATAGAAAACATAATAGTATAATAGTACATCAAGCACGTCGTACACGGCGCAGGTGGAGGGTGGAGGGAGGGGCTGGAACCGTATTTGGCCTGATAATGTTTTTGATATTGATTTTTCTTTCTTCACTTCTAATTCTTCACAAGGTACGTCATCGTTCGAAGTGTCCCATCGAGAAGGGCGGCAGGTGAGGGAGATCATATCTGATCACTGAATGTTGCATTTGCTTGGGAGAAATTTACTGGCACTGTGAGCCGCAAGAGTTCCTTCCCTCCTTGTTGGCAATGAGGCGGGGTTCTGCACAGGTGTTGTTTCGATAGTTGAAAGATGGTAGCTAGGATGGGGAAGACAAGTCGTAGCAAAAGAGGAAA